ACTTTTGTAATTATAAATAAGAAGTAGGATAAGTAATTATAAATAATACTTATGATAATAAAGGGAGGGGAAATGGTGCCTCGGAGAATGTTTTTGTAGTAGGAATTCAAGGAGAGAGGAAGGTTTTTGAAAATTATTTGAGTCAATCCCCGTTTCTTTAGCGAGGAAAAAGTAATTCGCAGGTTTCCCAAGCTAAAGACTTATCCTACAGGAATGCAAAGTCTTTGCAAAGGTCCCACGCCTGCAAAAATGTTAAATCTGCTAGCTGCTACGCTGAAAATCTGACGTGAGAAGGAGCTACACAAGTTGTAAGTAGAGGAATTAAAAAAAAAAAAAACCAACAAACAAACAAAGAAACCACCCAACAACACGTGATTAAAAAAGACAAAGATAACGGCACAGCGGGGCTCAAACACCCACACGATGGCGACCGGCCACCGAGGACCAACACCCGTATCCTACATCTACATCTGGAGATCATCCCTGGATGGACATGGAATAATCCCTTCGGCAAATAATTCTGGGCCGTGCCCTCTCCTGTGGTGGCAGCACGACCAGCCCGGGTCCTGGTTAGTTAGAACGCCCCAGAGATCGTTATCTTTGTTGCTCTGCTTGCCAAATTAGCTACTGCTAATAATGCCAAGAGTAAAGAGTGATTTGCAGCACCGGTCTCTGCCACAGGACGGCTTCCAAAGCTGAAGATTTTTCCAGCGAGGAATTTATTGCCGGAAAGACAGCCGATAATTATCCCACCGCATACACAAGGTGCTTATTTCAGGGCTGGCTTCATCTGATCTTTCACCTGCTAGAATAAAACAACCTCTCCAACCCATCTCATGACTCTGTGAAGGATGGAGCCGTGAGGAGCCACTGGCATAAAGCAAATAACTGTCTGGAAGTTCTTTATAGGAAGATTTTCCTCTGGGACATTCGCTTCATCTTGAAGTTATGCATGTCCATCACTCACCACCACGCTGTTCTCTAGTCATTTCCTAGGTGTGCAAATAACAGGGTTTTATACAGCTATAAAAATAAGACAGTCAGCTGAGATCTCTTTCAGCTGTTTTTTTTTTGTTGGGTTTTTTTTTTTTTTCCTTGCTGAGAATTTGTTTTCCAGCACATGTAACCAGATGCGTATATTGTAGGCTTTCTTCCCGCTACCTGCTCAATACGATCACACATTCCCATAGACCGTAGGAAGTCCATAAAAAAAAAAAAAAAAAGAGAAGCAGGCAAACAGCAGAGTGGCCTGAGAAATCCCGAACTTGTGTGTTGCAGATGATGAGCGAAGTGAAATAATTAAATCTGGCTCATTTATTGCTTTGGTTTTATAGAAATAAGAAGCATTTATAGTCACAATTTTTTTTTTCTTCTTGTTATCAACCGGTGAGCAACCTCTTCCTGATTGTTAAGGGGAAAGAAAGGAAAAAGGAGGAGAAACAACCCCAAGTGTGCTGGAACCTACAAATATTCCTTGATTTATTGACTAACGCATGTATTGCAGACCATCTACTATTGCTTTTTTTTTTTTTTTTTACCCTAGTTCTTAACGTTAAGTACAATGTCTCTCCAGTCATAATCTCAGTTTAAAAGGACAGAAATTCTACATTTCTCAGGGAGCTCGCTGGCTTTTTATAGCCTAAGCAACACATCTCGAAGGAGTTTTGAAGATCCTATAGCCGCATCTGGAATACTAACAGTGGAAGCTGTTATCTACGTGAGCTCACAGCCACGGGTTGGCTTTCACTTCTCATTTCAGCATTATCTAATTCCAATTTAGCACCCCAGCCTTTACAAGGGGTGTATCTAGTCTCATTTTATACTTGTTTTAACGCCAACTTCTGGGCACTTACTTCAGGTTCTGCAGCTACCCGTGGTCAGCAGCGGACGCGGATCTACGCATCTACGTAGCCACAAGCGTAGTAGGAGGAATTAGACTGATTATATGCGGGAGCCATTATCTCCCAACAATTATATATCGCTACCTGAATAAAACTCTCAAAATTCCCCAGCAGAACGTACGTAATAGATTTAACCCACCGACTGTTCCAAAGTATTTGCAAAACTTAAAGAGGAAACTATCTGCAGTCTTACGAATCACACCAAAAAAAAAAAAAAAAAAAAAAAAAGGGGGCTATTTTAAGTTTGGGGTTGAAATCATTGGTCAGGTGCAATCATTTTTAGTTCAAGAAAGGGTTTCAACTGACCCCGGTTTTCAGGAAAAAAAGCAGCTCAGACAAGCCGTCAACATGTCTCTGCTCACGCCCCTTCCTCATTAACGGCTCCAGAAGGTGATGAGAGCTCTTAATGAGCATCTTGAAACTTCACTGTGCTCTCCTAAAAACACACCAACAATCCCAAGCGTGGGGTCTGCTGGGCCCTTGCCTCCCCCAGGAAAGCGGGGAGCCCCTACCCGAGCCCCCCCACCCCACCCCAGACCCCAGCCACGTCATGCAGAGCTCAAGCTGAAGCACTAGACTTGTGCTAAGCCCAGCCCAACAAAACCAAAGCTGAGGGGGCTACGTTGTTCCCGCCACAGCCAGCCCCACTGCTTCATTTGTATTTCTAGTTGGCTTCTCCACCATCTGTGCATGCCGGCCCTCCCTTCATCTCAGAGGAATCGGAGTGGCATTGTTTGAAGATCTGATTAAATAGCCAGAAAAAAAAAAAAGTAATCCATCACTTAAAAAGGGAAATGGAGACAGTTTACAATGGTGTCCCGTAGCTCTTTAGGATTTTCTTTCCATTTTTCCTCGATTTTATTTTTAATCCAATGCCAAACATAATAAACACCAACAGAGTGTAAAATTTACTGACAGCATTTCACTCGCAATCACTAGCTGGGAGCAGCAACGAGTTATCCGGTTTCCCCTAGGACGTTCCTAGCACCAGATTAAACCCCGCTACGGTAGGAAATGGTTTCCTTCAGATGTTCATGCCCGTAAATATAATCTGAGGACACAAACTAAACGGGAGATTCAGCTTAAAAGAAAACGGAGAGAAAACCAACAAAAACCCAACTGCGCGTCTCCCCGCGACAAGATCTGATGCAGAGCTGGTTGGTTCTGAGGGGGATGATGATCCCAGCCAGCCTTCCACAATATCACCTCGACTTTTTAATTTTTTTTTTTAATTTTTTTTTCCCTGCCTGTGAAATCTAGTTGGCAAATGTCTCCTCATTTTCACATTTTTTCCCTCACGGAAGAGTTCTCAAACAGAGGGAAATGCTCACCTGGTGAGATCCTGGCAGAGGGCACGTATGGAAGTGGGAACCCAAATAAATATCTGCCTCTTGATCCTGATACCCAACCACCAAGCTCAGTTGGCCAATTAGCCCCGGGGAGCAGGAAGAGGAAGGAGCCTGAGCTGGAGGGTCACGTTAGCAGGAGGAGGATAATAATGACTCAATGAATATTAAGATTTTTCTCCGTTTACCCCCTCCCAGATCTCCCACTAAGCTGCCCATTTTTCATGGCTCCAAAGCGTCTGCACCAGAAATGTCATGGGGAGAGGGGGACTATTAAAAGGTCTCTGACAATTCCCCAGTTGCTCCTGGACTTTCTTTCAGGCAGTGGAGAGAAAAGAAAGAGGAGGAGGAGGAGAAAAAGAAAGAGCTTCACGAGGAGAAGGAGGACGAGGGAGGTGAGCTTCAAAAAACCCGTGACGCAAAATACACGTTCAGCCGCTCACTGGCGACAGAGACAGAAAACAAAAGGAGAAATCTTACCCCTGGTTCCCATTTTCATTTGCTTTAAGCATTTTCATGGAAAAGACTTTGCAAACGGGGGATCTGCGGCTTCCAGGGATGCTTAATCCTCACTTACGGTTTACGAGATGATGGCAGCTACGGCCCCGTGGTACTGCCACCTCCCTCCGCACTGCCTGGAACTGCTCTGGATGATGGTTCTCATCACACAACAGGACTGAACTCGGATGCATCTCAGCAAACATCCCTGCTCAGCGTTCAGACGAGACTCCTTAAGAGTCAGACGACTGCAGCTAACGAGAACGTGGACCGAGGTCGTCCTTATTTTCCTCTTTCCAAAAGCTCAGTTTTTTTGGCAAAGCTTTAAAACTTCACACGGATGCTGTGTGTGGAAACTTAAAAGGATTTCCCAAGGAAATTCTACGGCACAAGCTATTGGGCTGGTTAATTGATCTGTGTCGACTGAGAATTTGTGGGCTACCAAGATTCTGCTCTTCCCAGTCCAAATCGGAGAATGAACAACGCTTCAGCCTGTTCTCTTGCTCTCGGCTTGCTGCCATAATCCATGAGAAGTAGCACGTGTAGCCTGCAGCCCAGTGCAGGTCATTAATCATTTATTACCCAGAAACTCTGAAAGACTTTGATCTATGTTTTACCTATCATCCAGCTTAAGATGGAGACATCTTTGCGCTAGTTAAAACCCCATAAAGCAGTAAACACGCTGCCGCACATAAAACCAAACACTTCTTAATTTCAGGGCAACAACAACAACAACAACAAAATTGAAAATTCGCCCTTCCAGCATCTAGACACCAACCTTTTGATCTCAACGGCTGGCTGCACTTCATATCCCGCTGCCAAACGGTTCTTTTTCTTCCCCTCTTTTTCTTCCCTTTCCCTGAGATAAATATTCTACAACGGCTTAATGCAGAAGTGAGTACGATGTAATTCCCAACCGCTTATGGACCGCTTTATTCCATCACCTCCCCCGTTTGTGATCACCTTCTCATATTTCAGCAGGATAAAACCCCACCAATAGATAGTAAGACATTGTCGGTGGCTTTTCATGTAGGTTTAGTTGGCCTCTGGAGTCATCTTCTAGGACAAGGTCGGTATTTGTAATTGCCCCAGTGACCAAAATGCCTCAAACTATCCAATAGCCTGGACACGCTTTTAACTACAGCCAGCCAGCTGGATAAGTAAGAGGGAGTAAAGAAGAGTAGCTGGCCATTTGGGATTTTTATGTTAATAGCATTAATTACGTCTACAGTTCTGTATGTCCTTTGCATCTTACCAGGCTCTGGGATGATTAGCTGTGCACCGGCCTGTGCGTTTCCAGCTTCACTTTCAGCTACACACTGATAAAAACCTTCATCTGACTTTACCAAGCCCAGAATCCGTAAGTTGCTGCCAAAAAAAAAAAAAAAGAGAAAGGAAGGAAGTGGAGAGAATTAATTAGAAAAACACCATCCAAAGTGAATGCGGATTAGAAAACCTTGCCAGAGCGGCTATTCCGTGAAACACAGCACCGCGTGTGTAATCTCGGCTCCAGCTCACATAGCCCTGGTCCTTAGGGGGCCGTAACCATAAGCCCTTACATCGGGAATCTCTTGGCACTTCGTGGTCTTTGCGTTTCGTTTGATGGTGTCTCCAGCCCAAGGGTCAATTCCCTTTCCTGCACAGAGTCCACGCGAAACCCGGCTCAAGACTTAAGCTCCAAATTAGAGCCATCGTTGGAGCAGCGCTCCGAAACGTTGGCTTGGCTCTCTGCTGCGGGGAAGATCTAAGAGAACTTTTAACTCTGCATCTTTGAACAAATACTGTTCTGAAAGGTCAAAGCCTCCTTATGGCTCGAGGCCTGGAGATCCTCCAGAAAAGGTCACTCTACGCCTACTTCATCCGAACCAGAGTTAACTTTGCACTTCTGTTAGCACAAGCAGAAACCAATTATGCTGGGTAGAATATCTCAAGTGAGGGGTATGCTCTGCCTGAAATATATCTTCTGTTAACTACGAAGGGAAATAATTTTTCACCACCTCCGCCTCAGAACCGGAACAGCAACAGAGCTGTCTTTTCATTGGACGGCTTCTGGCTGCTTTCGAAAAAGCAATGATGGAGAAAAACCCGGTGGAATTTGCTGATGGATGTGGCAAAATAAGTCTGTCCTGTAGGAGAACCACTTTTTTTTTTTCTGTGTGTGTGAGAGGTAATTAAAAGACACGATCGCAATCAGTGTTGTTACGAGATAAAAAAAATTATAAAGTGCTGGACCAAGCCACGCCCCTGAAGAAGCCACGCCCCATAGCCTATGGATATCTTCGCGGTGGCTGAAGTTTTTCAAGATGTCTCCAACATCTCCGCTTACTTACAAGCGGGACAGCTCTCAGGAGAGGCCAGCTAGACCGAGCCTATCAGAAAAACCCGGCTTAAATTCTTAGCCTGTATAATAGTGACTTCAACTAAAAGGGATGGGAATTCTTACTTCGGGTAGGGGGCACAAGAATTCTTCTTGAAAAGTTGTAATTATGGCAAATGACAACCATTTTGAACCCCCTGTGCCCGAGTATAATTTCCTTGGAGAAGCGATCTATTATTTTCGTTCAAAAAAGGGCAACAGCGAGTAACGGAAATCACGAACATGAGGAAAACAATATTATTAATATTCTTATGAAGCTGCCCTCATATATATTATTAACCTCATATTATTAACCTGACTGTGTTGCTTCTCCGTGAAAAGACCACGTTCAAATATTACTAAAACAGAAATATTGTCAACGGTCTTGACCTGACACATCTCAGTACAGCGTGCCTTATTAATTAATTAATTAATTTATTTATTTATTTATTTATTTATTTATTTACATTAGAAAACAAAGTTTATTTATATTAGAAAAAATAATTATTTATATTAGAAAACAAAATTTCTTCCACATCCTTCCGGAAGACCAATATATTTGTGAAGGGAACGATTGAATCAAATACCAGAAGACATTTCACACCTTTTTTTTTTTTTTTTTAAAAAAAAGATCAATTCTAATAAGTAAAAGCCAGATAATTACCACTATCTGGAAATAGTCGCTAGGAATGACCACTTCTCCATTCTTGATCCACTCCACCGTAGGAACGGGCTTACCAGACACGGCACATTCAAACTCAATGTCCATACTCTCGTAGGCGTAAAGATTCGAAGGGCGAATTAAAAACCACGGTGGAACTGCAAACAAGACGGGGAAACAGTGAAAGTGGCGATGAGGAGAGAGAAAATAAAGGAAGGTTTAGAGAGTAAATCGTTTCAGTGAGCCAGAAGAATATTAGATATAAATAGAAAACCGCTCTATAATTCAAATTATTCTCTTGAACCCTGAGCCTGTTAAAATTTAAATAGTAGGGAAAGCATTTACTCGAGAAAATACACTTAAACAGCCGATGTTAATTTGTTTTTTTCCCCCAAATTAAAGAATTAAAACATGGATTTAGAAGACGTAGATTGATTTGTAACAAAATATTATAGATAATTCTCACTAAGCAAGTATGGGGGTGGGTAATAAAATCTCATTCATTTCAAAGGATCAGATGCCAACTGCGTACGTCACAAAGTTCTACGAGTCAACACAAGTCCGGGCACATTTCGGTGCAAGTTAAAAATATTCGGAGTAGAAATATTTTCAATGTAACCAAGAAGGACTTTTGACTGGGTTTATAGAAGACGAAGGGATAATCAATAACTAGGAAATCTGTCCCCAGTGAGTGGAAGAAGTACCAGGTTGAGTTATCTCTGCTGAAAATGAATTCTTATTAAGCTAGCAATTATCTGTTGCCTCGCCTTTCTCTAATGTATTCACAGCTTTTCTGTACGCTATATGATATGCTAATTTAATATCGTCATTCTTGTAATACCAGGGTGATGGAAATCTGCAATTTGAGGAAAACTCTTCATATATTTCTAACAAGCCCCACCCCGCGTCGTACCGAAAAACAGACGCGAGCACCCAGCAGCCCGCGTACGTTTTGTCACAGGTTTTTGTAGAGGGACGACGGGCTCTGTTTTGACTAGCCACGGTTGCCAGGAAGCCACGATAGTTTCATTTCCAAATACCATTTGTGACTTATTTCAGATGCAAAATCCGATTGTATCTCTTCAGTCATCGCTCCCGATGTCTGATTAGAATATTTATAACGCCATCATATTAAAAAAAAACAACAACCCACCCAACCTTTAAATTAAAAGAAAATGAAGATTATAAAAATAAATTGCACAGAATTTAAGAAACATTAGAACCGAGGCTGCCCTCATTTCCCTCCCTCAGGCCCCGGGTTTCCAAGGATTCCACTGTGCTCCTCAATCACCCAATCAAACATCGTTTCTTCGCAGCCTCCCTCGGTGCTCCAGGAGGACCCCGCTCGCCAAAAGAGCAATTCAGGATTTCATTTCAAACTTCCTATTTAGTACGCGGCTTCACGATTTCTAGTTTTCAAATTTTTCCCTCCAAACAAAATGATTCATTTCCCAGAGGGTTTTTTTTATTATTACTATTTTTTTTTAATTTTTTTCCCCGTCTCGTTCCTATTTCTACAATACCTGCGGGATCCACAATCTCATAGTAGTCGCACACTACTAACCGAACTACCAGGGGAAAGGGCAAAAATACCCGCCTTGTTTTTTCTTATCCCGTTTGATATGATTTAGAGGAGTTTCTGTTATACAGTAAATATACTAATGTGTTTTTCTTTTTTTACCCACCACCCCTAAAAGTCTTACTGGGAATGAAGAAAATGACGAAAACATCTGCAACCTATGAACGCGTGGTCTAAGCACCCAAACCCGCGTCTGGTAGGAATACTATGGCAGACATAAGGATGAAATTGTGCTCTTCAGGGTCTGCATTTCATCACCTTAACTACAAAACTATTTTTTTTTCATTTTTTTTCTTTTTTTTTTTTTTCTTTTCCTTATTGACAATAAAGTTTCCAGCTTTAGTAATAAATAAAGGCAGAGTCCTAGCCATCATCACCTCTTCAATCCTACACTCCCGCTTAATCCTGAGCGCTCTCCAAACTTGTGTGCACAACGAGGTAGAAATACTGTGAAGAAAATGAGATTATTTTATTTAAAAACTGCATGGAATGCATAAAAACAACCAGATCAAGTAAGACTGCCGATTTTTTATGTCAGCGCTTTCTTGAGTTTTAGCAATTGCTCCTGCTTTTGAGCTAAGTTACCCACAATAAGCACCCGCCCCCCGGCCATCTTCTCTGTTCCTTGGATCCGATTGGTCGCGTTTACCACATATTGAATAATTTTGGATACCTCGAAGCTCCTGATCCACTTCAGATCAAAACCAGCGCGTGCAAATTAAAACCGATGAGGGGTCCTGATTAACTTAGCTGCCCGATTTCCTATAGGAAAGGCTCAGACGGTTTGGATCCGAAACGCTCCAGGCTGGGCCCTTCTTGCTCTGTGGCCCGAGGGAGGTTAAATCAAGGTCTCGAGACCAAACAGCCCCAAATGCGGGAGGTTTTGTAGATGATTTTTCAAAGAAAGCAGCGCTCATAAGGAAACCCTCGTAACTAGGGTGCTGATCAAGAGGGTTTAAAAAAAATATATATATATCGCTTACACTAGAGATACAAAAAAGAGACAATTTAGTGGCCAAGCTCTGAAGAATCAGCATTGATAGTGAGGCTCAAGGGAAAAGAAACGAGCTCTTCAGTCAAGAAAAACCCTAAGAAAAACAAAAAAATTAAGACAGAATCACATTCATATGTTAATTTTTAACCCTTTTTTTTATTATTATTATTTTTTACACTACAGTCCTAGTAGAATTTATTCACCGCACTCACATCAAACCGCCAGTACCTCCGTAAGTTTATAAACCACCTAATTTTTCAGAGCTCTGACCAAACCATAAACTACTCAATCTTCATTTAGAGCGCTTTACTGCGATGTCACCAGAAGCCTGCAATTAATTTGCAGACTTGTAATTCACAGATTCCCGCCAGTTATTCTTTACGACGCACACGCTCCGGGGCTCCGACCCTGCTTGCCTGCAGCTTTTCATTCCCTCCACCAGAACTGTTGCTCCTCTCCCCTCATCTTTCTCTTTTTTTTTTTTTTTTTTTTTTTTTTTTTT